GGTTAAGTACAAGTGACCGCTTGAAGGCACTTACGTCCAACAAGCGAACAATACTTTACAATAAAAATGTGATTAAACTGACCAGCCAGAATGTTAAGCAGCAACAATTGTGAAGTTCTCATTAAAACAATCGGATCATTGTTGTATAAGCACACGTCGTCATTCAATTTTGCAATCGTCCCCCTAGCTTTCGCTAATAAACATAGAAGATGTGCATTCGTTGCACATCCGGTTTTTCATTGCCAGTACAGGCAAAGACTCCATACTCGGAAGACGTAATTTAAATTGGAATTTTCTATAACAGATACATTGATCTGATTGAAACAATGCCCTTCAGTAACCACATGCTGGGCAATACTAGAACTGTCAGCCTGTCCAAAGCGGACAGCAGAAAGATGCTGCTTTTCCCAGATGTTCAATTTCTGGTTGGTCTTTTCAATGTAAAATTTGTCGCAGTCTCTACATTGAATTTTGTATACCACATTTAGCACTGCTGTTGGGTTATTAATGGGCATTTACTTTTTACATATACCGTGCAATGTTCTGCAAGTCTTGTTGTAGATCTTAAGCCCCATATTATTAAGGTACCTCGTAATGCGTTGAGATACCTGGGACATAAACGGTAACATTCCCATTGGTCTGTATAAGCTGGCTTGCATCAAATTTGAGCTGAGGTGGAAAAGATTTTTCCATGAATGAAGTACTCAGTCTTTGGCGAACCGTCATTTTCCGTTCAAAGAGATGACGATGCGAAAGATTATGTTCAAGTGACATTTTCACCATGGATTTCTTACACATTGAAGGATTTTGGCCTGCGAAGGAAAGATTTTCTGATGTGGTGGAACCTTATGACTCTTTGACTGACTTATCTGACGTGTCACGATGCCAGTGGTGTTAAACCACTGCTTCCTCAGATTGAGAGGTCGCATCTGCGATGATCAGGTACTTTTTGCGAACGCGTCCAGAAGGGAACACGAAACAGCTACCACTTGTTCAACCGATCAGCGGAAAACGCAACAGACGGCAAAAGATGAACCTGGGCATTGTCTCGAAGGACTGTACTTCAGATTTAGGTTGTTTCTTGCCAAGGCTCTTACACGACACAGATCGATAAAAGTAGAAGACACTGTGTGATGCGTCTGCTCCCTCGATCTGAAAGGATAAGCAGTCCTCGAAATGGACTGGATGACTAGCATAATTCACGAAGCATCGATCGCGTGTCTCTTGTCTGTTTTGTCTGAGTCGCTAAACGTCCATTCAGAGAAAAACAGCGGTAAGGAGTTCGGTGGATGACACAACGCCTTTTGAACTGTTTGAAGCTGAGAGGCTATTCGAATCCCATGGATGGCAACAGGAAAAAAATAAGATGTATCTGAATATCTATCTAAGCAAATTTGTATGTAATATATTGGCCATTTCGACTGAACTGGCATCGATGGTCATCAGAAAATGAGAAAATTACCTGCTAAACGTGAAATCAAAAACTTCAAGTCATCCGTTGCAGAATGTTGTCATAATGAGTATAAAAAAAACTTTGTCAGTTTGACTGTGTAATTCCTCTTGAGTTCCTCACTGAGAAAAACTTCCCTAATTTTGCTTATGCACATTCTCAGACGATATTCCCGACGGTTCGAATCGCAGCTTCACATATCTTCAGGAGACAAGCCCAAGACAGATTTCATAGTACCCATATCACGACACTGAAGACATCATGGTCTTCAGAGATTCCAGAGGTGGACTATGGCTACTAAAAGAGGCGATTCTGACCGTCGCAGAAACAGGTCCTCTACTCAATCGGACGAAAATGAAAGTGACGAGGAAGGCAGAGAGAGTAGGATAACGATCTTATTTCGTATGAACAAAGACTGAAAAAAGTCCAGGACCTCAAATATCTTGACTCTGAAGTTATGAAAGATAGTTACTGAAACTTGGAGGTGAGCAGATGAGGCGCATCAGCGGCGGCTGCAATTTTAATTCTAGAGATCTGATGACGTTAGATTACCCGCTGATGACGGAAATTAAGATCATTAGGCAATTTGTTGTCGCGATCTCATTTGCAAGGCTTGAAAATGGTGACCTTGCAAAACACACACGAGCCTCGTCCAAACGTGTCTATCAACTTATCCACCAGCCATATTGTCAAGATATGTTGGTTCCAAAAAGTAGAGAACCAAAACGTAATAGCCATAGTCGAACAACGGGAATTATTTCCATTGCTCCGAAAAAGATGAATATCAAGATTTATTAATACCGTGTACAAGAACAAAACATCAGTCGCTGAAGAATCCTATTATGGCATCCAAGTTACGGACATCGCCGCTCCAGCGTCCAGCATCGAAATTTGGAAAGACCTAATCGAGAGAGGTCTGCGGTCGTTTTGGACTATCTCCTTTGCAACTGTAGCAGAACTCCTGAAATTATGACCCCGCCTGTCACAGCGGGCACCATTAAGAATTACTGTAATATCGTGGAGCTTTATTGACGATGGCACACAGAGGATATTTCCAATGTGCAAAAAGTACTTTAAACAATTATTGGCATTCCGACCTGAGAGATCCTAAAGGCTTAAATACGAAAATCAAAATATCGATGTGTACTCTAGTTTAATCAGTCAAATTTAAATTTAGTTTTATCTGAATTTGTCTCACAAGCTCCTTCATTGCTTCCTAATAGACAAATTGTAGTCCTTCATTATATTTTCTTAGGTACGCGTTCCGCTGTAAGAGTCGCATCTGTTGCCTCTGGTTTCTATGAAACTTTTTCGCGTTACAACTTCTTACATAAGGTTCTTTCACACAGTGTTCCATCGGCATGGAGTTCTGTATGTACTCACATTATCGTATGCGTTTTCTGTCCCTCATTTCTAATTTTATATGTGTTTCTTTAAATCGGCATTAATTCTTCTTATGAGAACTGAATGATAACCATTTTATCATTGCTGCTGGTTATCTAAATGTACGTAGCTTCGCTTCGTTAAATTATATCTTTGACTGCTTCGAACAAAGGATTCATGACATGCTGAATATATATATATATATCAACAGCATTTGCAGCGCATGACACAATAGCAAATAAGCTAGTATAATCGATTACTCGTTTTCATGCTTCCTGTGTCAT